AACGAAATCATTATATCCGTCCAGCAATCATGTTTTTTTCTGAAGATTTGATGAGTTAGTGACGATGAAAGAAGTGATGATGACTCTTTGAAGCTGCAGTTAATTTCGAACACTGTTGACAGCAGGGTAACCAGGACGGCGTGGGATTTGCTTGTAGGCGAGTAAGTCTAAAGAAGACTTCGAGGTAAACCGTCTGATTCATGTGTGATAGGCCGATTTCGTCATAACCGAGTATCACATTCGTCACGATAATAAACTTAGTGATACTCAGGTCGACGACGAGTTGCATGTGATATAATAACCGTTTATTAGCGAGCTCGAAATCACTCTCTCCCGGGTTATCTCCCCACCGCTCCTGATTCGGTTTCCTTGGGTTTTTTTGGACACTTTCTCAAGTTGGACGGAAAATATGTCAACAATATGATTGCTGGTTTCCACTGATTTGGTTTGATGTGTATAAGCTTTGACATTTGCTGACTTTTGTTGAACTTGTGATTTGTTATTTTTTCTCTAGATGGCGGCCCCATAACAAGTACTAGTAGTAAATGTCGCATTTATTTTATAATCATTTATGTGCCAGCTGACTGTGATCTAGACGAACAACCCCATAATCATTAGCATAATAAATTTTGATTCATACTTTTATATCACGTCATATCACATTGGTATAGTGCAAATCAGGATTATTTGCTGCTGTGTACACTATATATGCCGCCCATTGATGATTGAGATCGATATTTCAACTTTACAGTGTACTTTTATAGTACTTGATCAAAAATTCTTGCATTTGTCTGTTTTTTTTATTATTCATTATAACTTGAATATTGTCAGAATGTTTGAATTCGACCAACTATTTCCGGTTCATGCTGGTTTGCCAATACCAATAGCCTAATAGTAATAGATTTTATACTTATTTGGTATACCAACTGACTTATTATCCGCTGAGGATTAAATTTGAAAATTGTCATCATTCCTTATTCAATTCTTATCATATGATTTTTTATAAATAAAGTTGTTTTACATCAATATAAAATCTTAATGTTCCGTATACTGATTTCTTTAAATATTCCCAATTTTACATTTGAAAAGGACATTATTAGCTACTATGCCGTTGGCATCAACACATACTTTCTTTGGAAGCAAGTATTTTTACCATTGGTACGTATGTACCGGAAACGGAATCTTATACATTATAATTGCGTGTAAATCAAATATGTATTGTTGCATACAAACTTCACACCATCAAATGTCGAGATTGTGGATGGCTAATGAGAAATTTACTGCAGATTATGATTAAGCAGGACTCCTAAATTAAGCCAGATTCGTAAACTATATACACTCATAGAATTAGGATGCTATGTTTGTCCTTGAATGACAAATACATTGTAAATAACTATGTTTATCTGAGGGATATGTTAAACACATGGAAAGGTCATGGCAGGATATCTACGTTTAATATTTCATTTTGTTCAGCAAAAACAACATAATTTTCAAACATTATATGTTTTCATGGAAGTGATGTTTACAAAGTGTAAATGCAACTTTCAATGAAGTTAAACTTATTACGCTATTACCATGGACGCAAATAAGGTCCGTCCATACACAACTTTACCATATGATATAATATTCAAATATGAATATTTTACATTATTATTCGCAGCAGTATTATTGCAATTATTGATATTATATTAATTTAATCTTTGCGATCATGATATATAACTGAAATGAAATGAATGTTTGAATAGAAGTGCAAGAAATTATTAGTAATAATGGTACCATGCCGGTTATTAAGATTTTTGTAAGTACAATTAAACTTGTGTATTCCAAGGCATTTCGAAAAAAAATATGTTCTTTATAAACAAGTGGTCTCCATTTGGAGGTTGATTAATCACATTTATGAAGAAAACTATGGTAATAATGCTAGGGGGAAATTTATCGCCAATTATTTGAAGACGGGGAATTACTGTGCTTATTTGTCATAAAGCGCGGTGGTCGTCGCGCAACGCGTGTTCGAATTTCATGTAAATAAACAATGTATTTTACACGCGTTGTATACGTCGCTATGAGTCCCATATCGAACAAGACGCGGCACGACGACTGCCGCCCTTTAAATTGAAACTCAGTGTAAAGAATAGCATAAAACAATAAACCTTCTTTTATCGTGTTGTTATCATTTACATATTTGATCGAACCATTGCATAACGGGTGACCACTAGTAATTGGACATTTACGTACAGATCACTTTAGTGATATATTAAATTGCATTGGAACTGCTGCCTAAAGGTCACTACAGGCAGCTGGTCATTATCATTTAGCATTTGTTTTCTCGAACATCGTGGTCATATTGCGTATGCTGGTCCAACAAGATGTATCGCCGTAAAACCACAGCGTCTTTGCGGTGTCTGCTGTCTCAAATACCTCGAAGAGTGTAGCGGAGACAGTATACCGGTCAGTAGCTTGCCATTCCCTTAAATGACAAAAAAAATACAATGTCATGAATCAAAACAACAACAAAAAAGTGCCAGAATATAAGATTCAGAATGAATTTAATTGGACGTTACAGGGGATCACTTGTATTATTTATATACGGGTAAGCGACCTTTGGTGAAAATTACGGCGCGGCTGCAAGTTTCCCAGAATCCCACCTCTCAAAACAATTTTTCAAGAAAACCCATCCCTTGAAATCAATTTTCAAGAAAAACTCTTAAAGTGGTCCAAACATGACTTTGATTCCTTACAATTTTTAAAAAAAAAATGAACTCTTGTATAACAATTTACAGCAAGGTTTTTATGGTGCCTCGCATACCTGTTGGTAGGTTTCTGATAGACACGGTGGGCCCCGCTTCCAGGTTTTGAACTCGGGTGTGTTTTGTTACGCCCTCTACGTCAGTATTTTTATTAAGTTTGTCTCCTATAAGCCCCTTGAAGTATACGTGTGTGTGGCGCTTTTATGACTCCCCTTTTCACGGTTGAGCCGATCTGTTTTGAGCCCCAATTATTTCGGTCAGCAAAACGTAAGCCTTGTTTTGGCCTGCTAGTAGACTGTTCAGAACAAAATAGTCAAATAACGTAATGCCAACATAAATTACTCTTTTCATTTTTTTTAAAATTTTGCATTATAATTCCAAATGTATTTATTAATTTCACCATCAATTTTATTCAAACGGACCATGGCGGTAAAAGACAGTCTTTTACTTGCATGAACGGACGAATACTACGTTCGATCATCTTTTTTAGCTCCATGGTTCGATATTCTGTCTTCACATTAGAGAAGAAATAACAAACAATCATACCAGCTCATTTCCGGTTTACTTCCTTGTTCGCGTGACTAGATATTTTTTGCCGTGTCGCATTGTTTCATTAGTGAAACTGTGTTTGGCTGATACAAATGGCTTACAACTATCCAAAAGCTCGCCGAGACGAGAGTAAGATTGAAGACTATCATGGAACTAAGGTAAGTATTCGCTTGCAAGTATTCAAGTTGAAAACTTGACAACTCTGTGAAATGCGGGGACACTAACTGGAATGGTTATTTATTTAAGCAGATCGATAAGCCGAAATCATCATCATAAATTGAGATTATTTCAAAATCGGGAGACTTTTACCCGGTTTCCCCTGTATGGAAAAAATAACATTAGTAGTCCACCCTAAAAAGTAAACGCATTCGGGAGTTGTGAGCATTGTGTGATTTGGAAATCTCCGTTTCTGGTAAAGTGTATTACAAGCTTATGCACGCACATAGGGTTATAGCTGCGGTTCCGTAGCTCTTTGGTGCGACCTACAATCGAATTTCGCCCTAACAATTTCATTTGGACGTCTTTTTTTTAATTTTGTTGTTGTACGTCGAACATAGTCAGTCACGTAAATAATGCGGTCGGCAACATAGGGCTATGATTCCACAGCTAATAGGGTTATTGAAGTTTGTATCCACACCTCCCTTATAGATTTTATAATTTCGGAGGGTATAAAATAATGTACTTTTTCTGTTCCGGGAGAAGGGTTCACCGTAAATGAATTCCACAGGGTGATAATATTACTATGGGCTTTCGAAGGGTTGGGTTATTGCAGTTTGTATCCACACCTCCCATTGGATGGTATAATTTCGGAGGGTATAAAATAATGTACTTTTTCTGTTCCGAGAGAGGTTTCACCGTAAATAAATTCCACAGGGTGATAATATTACTATGGGCTTTCGAAGAGTTGGGTTATTGCAGTTTGTATCCACACCTCCCATATGGATGGTATACAAATGTAATTCCGGAGGGTATAAAAATTAAATAATGTACTTTTTCTGTTCCGGGAGAGGTTTCACCGTAGATGAATCCACAGGGTGATAATATTACTATGGGCTTTCGAAGGGTTGGGTTATTGCAGTTTGTATCCACACCTCCCATATGGATGGTATAATTCCGGAGGGTATAAAAATTAAATAATGTACTTTTTCTGTTCCGGGAGAGGTTTCACCGTAAATGAATTCCACAGGGTGATAATATTACTATGGGCTTTCGAAGGGTTGGGTTATTGCAGTTTGTATCCACACCTCCCATTTGGATGGTATAATTTCGGAGGGTATAAAATAATGTACTTTTTCTGTTCCGAGAGAGGTTTCATCGTAAATAAATTCCACAGGGTGATAATATTACTATGGGCTTTCGAAGAGTTGGGTTATTGCAGTTTGTATCCACACCTCCCATATGGATGGTATAATTCCGGAGGGTATAAAAATTAAATAATGTACTTTTTCTGTTCCGGGAGAGGTTTCACCGTAAATGAATTCCACAGGGTGATAATATTACTATGGGCTTTCGAAGGGTTGGGTTATTGCAGTTTGTATCCACACCTCCCATATGGATGGTTATAATTCCAGTGGGTATAAAATAATGTACTTTTTCTTTTTTGGGAGAAGGGTTCACCGTAAATGAATTCCATAGGGTGATAATATTACTATGGGCTTTCGAAGGGTTGGGTTATTGCAGTTTGTATCCACACCTGCCATACAGATGGTAGAATTCCAGAGGGTATAAAATAATGTACTTTTTCTTTTCTGGGAGAAGGGTTCACCGTAAATGAATTCCATAAGGTGATGATATTACTATGGGCTTCCGAAGGGTTGGGTTATTGCAGTTTGTATCCACACCTCCCATACAGATGGTATAATTCCAGAGGGTAAAAAATAATGTACCGGGAGGAGGGGTCACCGTAAATCAATTCCTCAGGGTGATGATTTTACTATGGGCTTCCGAAGGGTTGGGTTATTGCAGTTTGTATCAGCAACTTTTTTTCTGTTCTGGGCCTCCCCTAGGGGTCACTGTATTAGACTCATTCAGTTAGATGTTAAATCCGAGGGGTACATTTTAGACTTTTAATTCCATGGGGTACATTTGGGGGAATGATCATCCAGTGGGGTATTGGCAAAATAATGTTTTTCGGGGTGCTGAAACTCTGTTGTATATTTCCAGGGAGGAGTTCTCAAAAACTAATCCGAGGGGTTACATCTTTGGCTATAACCATCCATGTAGGGGGTGTGGATACAAACTGGAATGACCCGTAACTGTGTACAAATGTAATAATCAAATATTAGCTAATTCATGTCATAGCAGATTCTGTATCTCGGTAATATTATTGGGGGGGGGGGTACTGGTACAGGTTACAGGAAATAAAATGAAAGTTCCATTTAGAGAAAACAATAGGTTCCTACACTTTACAGATAAAGCAAATTCATAATAGTTTACATTTTCATTAAACATGTACATTTGATGGGTTGTGTTAACGAATCAAAAAAGCTTTATACGCTTACAAAAAATAAGATCTTTGTACAAATTACGGATGAATAAAATAGCTGATTTCATGTCTACGAATTTACGTTTTTTATTTATTTAAATTACATTATTACGAAAATAAAAACAATTGATTACAGCTTATGAAAATACTCCTTTGGTGAACCTCTATTATGTTGGTGCAAAGCAAATTGTCGTTATCATTTAGTCATCTTTAGCATTTACTTCAGCTTCTTTAAGCCTAAAGAAATTTATAACTTGTGTTTTTTAGAGAGTGGTGGTCGTCACGCAGCCCGTGTTTGAAATTCATGTAAATAAATAATGTATTTTACACTGGTTGTATACGTCGCTATGAGTCCTATATCGAACAGGACGCGACACAACAACTGTCGCCTTTTAAACTTATGAACGCCCAAAGTTAACTTTTGGTATCATTCACAAAATAATTCTACTAAATTTTTTATGTTCTGCAAATTTTGATCTGAACATATAGCCAATTGAAAGTTTCATTCAATTGGTCCAAAATTAACAAACAAATTTAATGAAAAAGTTTACACACATGGGTTAAACATTTAATAAAGAGGGTTAGGAATTGTGCACTCAGTGTGTCACACAAGCTCATTAATATTCATTATTAGCTCATTAATATTCATTAGTGACCAGCACAAGATCCTTGCATGTGTACTCTTCAAGTTGATTCCCATCAAAATATATTTCTAATCCTACTTACGTTGATCGCATATTGAGCGAGCAGTGTTTATACCAGCACTTTGTATGCACAATATGCACATATTGTATGCACAATAAGCATCATTAAAGCTTCAATTCATGTTCCTATCTATGTAGCTGATTGAAAACTGATATCGATAGAAGGCGAGATATTTCTGGTCAATGAATGTATCAGTTAAAAATATGCATGTTTGTGTAAAATTGTTTTCAGAGTAATGTTGAAACTACCTAATACATGGCTATTTAAAAAATTGATCAAAAACATTTTGTGGAGGGGAGGGGGGGGGGGTCAGATAAGACATCGATTTATGGTTACTGATGTATTTACCTCTGTATCTGACTGACTTACTGACGCAGGATCAGCAAACCAATCACAACTTGTGTTACAGACCGCTCCCACATAAGGTGCAGCCAATAAACCAAAGACAGTGTCTTTAAAGTGAACAGTGCCTCTGCCTAATAAGAATGTACTAATTTGCATAAAGCCAAATAAAATAAATCGCATGTATCCAGTAAACCTTAATCTATGCAAATGAGCTATGATCATTTTGATTTTATTTACTTTCTTCTTTTAATCTGTAAATAGTGAAATATTAATTAGTGCTTACCTAGTTGTGTAAAGTTATACTGTAAAATCATATATTTTCACTGGCATTTAATTTTGTTCACATAAATTAAATTTTTAAGGCATTTGTATCACCAACAAGTTTTGTCAATTTTTCTATATTTCTTTATAATTTTGTTGCTATTTTTGGACCAAATAGCCATATTTTTAATTTCCTCCACGTCTAGATCAAATATTTCGTAAAAATGTTGCTTGTTTGTGAAAGGTGATATGAGTTGACTTGGCATTTAACTGTTCAACATATTATGGGATAGCACAATTTTCATTTGTTCTGGAATATGACATTCTACATGTACAAACTACTAACACCAACAACAGTTGTAAACAATGTTTATAATTTCCACTCGCAGATTGCAGAGCCATACGAGTGGCTGGAAGACCCTGATTCGGAAGAAACCAAAGCTTTCGTAGAGGCACAGAATGCAGTAACAATGCCCTATCTGGAAAAATGTAAAATTAGGCAGAAATTTCATGATAGGTAAGTTATAACAAGAATTTATACGATGAGATTATGCAAGTGTGTGATTTGTGATTAGATCTCACACAGATTTTGATAATCACAAAAATCTAGAAATTCAAATGCAATTTTAGAAAGAACCAATCCATGTAATTTTCATCTCAGTTCGTTTTTGTTTCTACTTATTCACAAAATGTGTAATATGTTTTTGTAATATTCTTAAATGTTGCTAAAATGGCACTTAAATTTACAAAATTTACTCTCAAAAGAAACAAGAAAAATAAATCCTTTGCTTATTCACTGTATTACTCAGCTAACAGTATTGTTGGTAGGACTAGAGTCCTTGGTTAGTGTTATAGAATGTGACAATGTGCGGAAAGGATTATACATGTACATTTATTAAATCAAATTATGAACGGGGATATTTTGGTGACAAGTTTAGGGAATATTTACCAGCTCACAACCTTTAAGAAAATCACTGACATATCTCTATCAATGGCAATATACGGTACTTTAGGATTTTATAGTCTGGGTGGAGGGTAGGTGTGTGTTCTATAAATAGTTTTCGTTGCTACCAGGACCATTTACTGCATAAGCAGATTTTACTTTTGACATTTTGTACGCTTTAGTGTTAAGTAAAAAAAATAAGTACTGTAAAATCTGTATTAGAAACCGCGGCTTCTATTAAAATGGTACAATGCAATAGAGGAGATGCGGCTTCTATTAGAGCATCTACACATATGAGAAATGATGATTTTTTGGTTCTCAATTATTCAAAAAGAATGGGTGCGACTTATATTAGGGATGCGGCTTCTAATACAGATTTTACGGTACTAGTATACTATAGATTACAAAATGTCAAAAATAGAAATCTGCATCATAGCACAAACACAGTGAAATTACATCAGCTATCTTATCTGTATTATATCTGCAGTCATGGATCTGTGTACACAAATTTTATCATTGAACCAATATTAGTGGTGATTTGGGGTTTAATATTTTAAAACATGCACATCATGTTTCATGCCTGCATACACAGACTGTTAAAATAACATGCACAATGCAGTTTGAGCCTGTGTATTTCAACCCATGCAACAATAGTACTGTATGCATACTATCGATAACATCAAATTTGTGAGTCTAAAATGTTTAAAACATGTTTTATACAGGCTCAAAGCAATGTGGGATTTTCCCAAGTATGGGTGTCCATTCAAAAGAGGACCAAGATATTTTTATTTTTACAATACTGGATTGCAGAACCAAAGGTAGGATTTTCTACTTAATATGTAATTTGCTTTCCTAGTTTCTTTCATTACTGTCCAGCACATTGTTTACACAGTCAACTGACGTAGAAGTGTAATTAGATGAATCCACCAATATTTATTATATATGAAGGGGGCTATTTTCAATACGGCTTGAAACATAAATACCAGTAAGAGATAAATCCGACAAATCAGGGGAAAAAAATGATCTGCCAGGGTAACATCAAGATAACCACTAACAAAATTCAACCAATTTTGTTGTATTTACATGGAAAAATTGCTGTGAAATGCGACTAAAATTGACTTTTTGGTCCAGTTTTGGTTTATCTCAGGGCTGGGAATGAGGGAATTTTTCCGATACCATATGAGAGGGCTTGAGTTGTCGGTAGCATGTCATTTGTTATTTAGCAAATAAGGCAAATAAAGACAAACCGAGTTGTTATCCTCTGTCATTTGTATGACTTACATTGTTAACAAATAGTTGGTACACTATATTCTTCTATATCAAAGGTTTCAGATTATTTATAAGTTGTTATAATAGTTACATGCTTAGTAACTTTCAGTGAATATCTGACTCTCAAAACAATGTTTTACCCCTATTGATAGCTTAAAAAGTCCAAGTTGGTATTCAGTGCACCTTTATGCTTGCCACTGGGAGAGTGCATCGGGTTATGGGAAAGGCTGCACTGTTCATTGAAGCGGGGAAGTCGTCACCTGTTCATGCGGCAGATGACCATAGTGCATCGTTGCAATTTTAGCGTGTGTTGTTATTGACCCTTGCGACTCAATTTATGCGTATGCGATGTGACATTCCCTCCGCTTTAATACTTATTTTGCATGTGTCGTGTGATGACCACCACCCTTTAATAAGTTAAAGTTAATTTTGTTTCCTGATGACACATTATTCTTCTCCTTAGTGTTTTATATGTACAAGATTCAATAGAAGCTGAGGCTAAGGTCTTTCTGGATCCAAATAAGTTCTCCGATGATGGCACTGTGGCTTTGCGAGGGTATTCCTTCACAGAAGACGGGGAATACCTGGCATATGGACTGAGTGATAGTGGTTCTGATTGGGTCACTGTCAAGGTAAGATAACTTGCCATGAAAGTACAAATTTATTAAATTTGGAAAACCTACTTTCCACTTGAATGGCATTGAAGGAAGTATGAAATGGAATTCACAATTGACCGTAGATGTAAATGTCCAATGTTGAGATTGAGAGAAGCATGTTTTTTTTTTACTCAAGTGTCTGTTCCATTTTGTCCTGTTTTCGTATATGTTGTCTCTTTATCTATTTAAACATAATACCAGTATTTTGAATAGTTCATTCGATGACGGGAGAGAGGGGAACTCTTTTATTAGGGTAAACAGACCTGAATTGGTTGATAATTGTTGTTGAGATATATACATGTAGTGATACATTTCTCTTATACATGTGTATTATCTGGTTCTAGTTTATGAAGGTTGCTGGATCCGAAGAGCTGCCGGATATTCTGAAAAGAGTTAAATTTAGTTGTATGTCTTGGACGCATGATGGCAAAGGACTCTTCTACAATGTAAGTACATGCTCTGTAAACTGTTTAACAAATATAATGATTAAATGGCAGTCATCAGGACAAAATTTAGCAAAAAATCTGCTGTCTTTATGATCCCAGTGAAATTTTTCATTTTTCTCAGACTGAAATTTGTGAAAATTTGACACTTCCCAAATGACAGCGGGGTACAATGATAGTAATTCCCCAATGATCATGTAGGTTCCTGTGATTTTATGATCCCAGTGAAATGTTCACTGCATTGAAATTTTGTAATTTTTCTATGTACCCGTAATCATTCACTGCTTAACTTACAGATAGATTAGCATTTCAACCGGGATTGTTCCTGATGTTTGATTAGAGTTTAATTAATTGTATTTTTTTCAGAGATACCTTGAACAGGAAGGTAAGACCGATGGCACTGAGACTACAGCCAACTTAGATCAGAAACTCTGCTATCATATACTGGGAACTGAACAGTCTAGTGATGTACTGTGTGCAGAGTTCCCGGATGAACCAAAATGGATGAGGTAAGGAGGTTCCACAGTTATTGTTTATCATGCTAAGAAAAAAAGTCTTTTTCTGATCCTTGGATGCACAAACAAATTATGCAATAACAGGCCTCTTTTTTTTTGGGGGGGGGGCATTTTTTCTTTCATTCTTATACCGTAGTATAAACCCCTGAAAAGGACCGTTTGATATGTGTTTGCACAGTATATGCAATGCAATACATGAAAGTATTAAAGTCAAATGAACCTGTATATATATGATGTTTATGTTGTATTTTCAACTTCATCAGTGTAAATATTTAAATTTTAATACTATTATGGCAATTTATCTCCCAGTTGATCACAAGCACTAAAAGTTCCTCCAAAGTTGCATCATTTATGAAATAGAATTCGCCCCATAGTTTTGGCCTTGCCAGCTTTCTAGGGTGGGGGGTTGACCTCCATTTGTGGCATAAAACCCCCGTTAGGATTTGAGCTTTGGTCTACGAATGATGTGTTAATGCAACACTACCATATTTTCTCTATTAGAAGCTCATATAAACCAAACATTGTAGACTAAAATTTTACTTATTAGAACCACTTCTGTAATTTATGTAAGCATATGTGTTAATAATAGAGAGCAATCCCAGTATCGAAATGAAAGTGTTTGCACATTTCGCGTTACCTGGGTAAACCGGAAGTTAGGACAGATTTTGAACATTCCAAATGCGCAGAGTCACAGTGGACCAAACTTCACAGTTTCCAACTCGCAACGTAAAAATTCCCCTGAAATAAAACCACCATCATCTTTCAACTAACTCATCTTTTAACTAACCAGCCTCTGAAAATTTGCAAACTATTCTGCCTATAAAGCAAGAATAACGAGTGTGCAAATCGTTGGCTAGTATAAGCGTAATATTTTCATATATTTTGTGGGTATTTTGGGAGTTGAAAATATATGTCACGGTTATAATTTACTCTGTGAAACACAAACGTACCATCTCTATTTCAGTCCATTTTCTCTGAAAAATCATCTTTTTCAACTGGAATTCCATGTTTCTCAGCTGGCTTAAATAGTTCTTCCAGCTGCCCTCATTTGTACCCATCCACACTCACTCCGCTATCTTTAAAAAACTGTTTAAAATGTGTCGCTGACTTCTTCTGGGTTGCAATGTCTACTGGTGCTCTTTTGACTTTTTATATTTTTGTCCTACCCTCACCCGTTGCTAGGTAGTTGCGCATGTGCAACATCATGTGATTGTTTGACGGTGAATTGGTACAGATATTATTTGTATTTAGAGTTGGTTTCACAAACATGGGAAGGATACACTGAAAGTTAGCATTTCATTCAATAATCTCTCTGTATCTTTTCTTATAGTGGTGCAGAACTCACCGACGATGGCAGATATATACTGTTGTCAATTTCTGAGGGATGTGACCCAGTCAATAGGTTATACTATTGTGATATGAAGACATTAACAGATGGTATCAAAGGTGTGTAAATTTAATAAGCTTCATCAGAAATATCCCTACAAGTAATTTATTTTCACCCAACCCAGTTAACTTTTTAAATTTTCATTATCACTTTTGACAACGTGAAATATAAAATGTTTTAAAATGATGTCTTAGATAAAAATATTATTTATTAAAAGTAGATATCCAGTGCTCACATTATATTGTGAATGGTCTTAAGACCATAGACAAACATACATACATGTACAATGTTAAGCTGACCTTTAGGGACAAACAAAAACAAACAAATCTAGCTCAATTAAAATGCTCTCCTAAATTCCTATTCTGCAGTAATTTCTCATTTAATCCTATCCACAATTTCAAAATTTGATGATTGTAAGTATTAGACATTGGATGGTACATCAGTGAGGACCTACAGTGGATGAGGTAAAGTGTGACAGCCATTGATCACTTTTATTAATTGTGCCTGTTTTTTATTTTAGATCATTAATAGACCATTGTTTGTGGTTTTGGGACTATTATGTCAAATATTTGAGAATCTATATATACAATAATGATAGTAAATTTGCTCGCAATTCTGGCAAATTCAGACCATCAAATATTCACCAAGAACCCCATACTGGTAGGATTGATCTCGAAGTAAAACTGTAAAATGCAAGAAGCTTCCTTTGAATTTCAGCTTAATGATAATGTACATGAAACTTGAATATTTATACTTATTCATTATTAAACAGAGCAAAATTATTATCAACTATAGTATCATACAATATAGTTTGACACACCGTCTTTTGTTCTTCTTGTTCACAGGATTGATTCCATGGGTAAAACTAGTTGACAACTTTGATGCGGAGTACGAGTACATTGCGAATGAAGGCACGCTTTTTACATTCAAGACAAACTTAAATTCTCCTCGGTATAAACTTATTAACATCGATATCAGTAAACCAGAAATGGTAAGTTGATTTATTTATGTGTAGTCTCTATTGCTCAGTCAGGTTCAGCAGTCTGTCAATGTGTCTGTCTGTCTGTCTGTCTGTCTGTGTGATATTTTGTTTTTGTAACCAGTTTAATTTGTCATCTGTTTTAAACATACTGAATGTTATTAGTCGCCGTTCGGACGAAGTCCGAAAACGGGGACTTATAATTCGGTCTCCGTCCGTCCGTGTGTCCGTGCGTCCGTGCATCCGTGTGTCCGTGCG